TCCCTTCTGCTTGCTTTTGGGGCAGGGCCTGGTGGGAGGTTTGGGATTTGGGCATTCTTTGGCCCAATGTCCACCCTGGTTGCACTGGAAGCAAGGTCCCGGAAGCTTTGCGGGTTTCCCAGTTACTCGTGGTGGCAAGGTGGGGTTGATGGTCTGAGCTAATAATTGGTACTTTTTTACAGCCCTTGTGTCATCTCGGCCATTGTAGGCTTTAAATGCAACAGTGAGAGCCTCTGCTTGAGAGGTTAGGGGACCCCTTTCTAGCCTCTTATGTTTTATTTTGATGTTGGGGTAGCTCTGACAGAAAAAATGCACCATAATTAACCTTTGGCCATCGGCAGAGTCTGGATCAAGATTAGTATGTTGCTGCAGGCTGTCAGTGAGCCGCTGGAGAAATGCAGAAGGATTTTCATTCTTGTCTTGGATAATTTCACTAAGTTTGTCATAACTAACTGCTTTCATGGCTGCCTTGCGCAGCCCATGAAGTATACAATTAATATACCTATCTTGGTTGACAATACCTGCCTGGGTGTTATAATTCCACCCGGGGTCCCTGTCAGGGACAGCTTCCGCTCCTGCTGGGTGATTGTTATTAGGGAGGTGTTCCTGGTGTGCATGAGCATGGGCCTGTTCCAGCACTCGCCTACCCTCCTCAGGAGTTAAAGAGTTAGTTAAAACAACAAAAATATCATGATAAGTTAGTTGGTAAGACTGTGTTAGAAATTGAAACTGCTTAATAAAAGTTGCAGAATTTGAGGTAAAAGACCCAAATCTGGATTGAATTAACAAGTACAAGGCGGGGTAGGTGCATACGGAGGGGAAGCGGTGGGAGAAGAAGAAGAGGATAGTAAGGGGAGTTTCCGGGGACCTGGAGAAGGTGAAAGAGGGACCAAAGTGGGGGGTGGAGGTGTACTTGGGGCTCTTTGATAGGGAGAAGGTTCCAGCTGGGTCAAATTGGCTGATGGAGTCCAGAGAACAAGCAATGGAACAAAGAGAAGGTCGAAGATAGGAAAAGCCCTGGATATACGGGATCTCTGACCATTTTCCCTGGCGCTCACAAAAGTTCGAATGAGCCATTAGGCGACCAGGTATTTTGGTTGTCTAACTTGTTGAATAGATAGACGTATAAGATGCTTAGGTTCAAGGTCTAAGCCCTCAAGGTTTCAGAGCAAACACCCTAAAGGGGACTCTGCCAGTATGGAGGACCTGGAACCCATAGCAACCAGGAATAAGACAGCAAACAGTGCCTGGAACCTAAGACGTCTCTTGAGGTTCAGATAGTGCTCGCACCTCAGACCTGGTCTGAGGTATGGGGACCCAGGCTCCCAGTGGAGACACCCCTGCCACAAGGAGGGGGTCTGTACAAGTCCCAGACTTGTTCCGGTAAGTTCTGAACTCACTATGGGAGACACAGAACCTGGCACCCAGTCTGTGTTCCAGACAGAATCTTATGTCCTGGTTACCAGAGTCCAAATCTCCACACCCAGGGCAGGCAAAAGAGGGA